AGGCAAAGCCATCACAGAGGTCTCCTTTGACCATATAATTTCTGGTTCTATTTAATGAAAAATCATTCAGATCCCATATGAATAGAGAAGATATATAGAACTTCAGACCTCCATTCTTGTGCTTTCCCTCAGGACACCAACAGGACAAAGCAAAGACAGAATAGGTATTTTAGTACACAAAGGACCAACCCTAGTAGTCACTCAATGCTCTCACACCCCATTCAAGAGAGTAGGAGAGTACTCATGATCTCACTTGATGGGTTTAACTTCTTACAGAATCTTTTTCTCAACACACAAACCATATGGTGTGGAGGTTTCTATTTTCAACAGGAGTGTGCAAGTTTCTTCTATGCACGCCAGAAGATCCACGTGCAAATCCCAAATCACATTTGTTTTCTGTGTTCTGCAGAGGAGCTAAAGTACTGCTGTTGCTAAAGTGAGAATGGCATAAAACAGCAGGGAGAAGCACTCCCAGCTCCATTTCCCTGAATTCACCTTGGCCAGTCACACATTGCACAAGCCCTCTGATCCTTTTCTGGTATCATCCTACAGGCCTTTCTCTGGGTCCTTCTACTTGGTGTGCTGAAAACAGGCCTGGGGTGGGAGAAGTTAAAAGCTGTTTTTAGTGCAGTTTGTGCCTGGAAATCAGCGGTGTTATATTAGCCAAAGATGTTTTAAAGGCCACTTGTCTCCACATGCATGGGCTGGCAAGGTGGTCTCTAACCGGCTTTTGGGAGTGCCACAGCACTACATATCCCAGCTGGCACTGGCAGTTCTGTATGTAACTTGCCTTTCCACAGCGGCTCCTCGGCTGAGATGGAAACGACCATTCCATTAAGTAAGAAACAACAATGCTGACCTCTCGTGGCCACACTAGCCGCTTGCAGCAGGTACCAGAAGCGCCTCTTCGCACATCAGCTGTACACAGCTGGCAGGCTCGGCCGGGTACCAGCACAACTGGGGCTCCCTGGCCCTGGTGAGGAGGTGCAAAGGGAGCTGGCACCTGACCCACACACCGTCTCTTGAGATGCTTCTCAGAATGGGGGCATCACCTTCCCATTGCTGCCAGGTCTGCCTCAGTGGTATTGACTGAATGAATGAATGAATGAATGACTGCAAATTTTGGCCCCAGCTGAGGAGGGCACCCGTCCTGAGGCCAGCACCCAACGCGATGCTATGGCACAGAAGTCAAACTGGCTGCCCGCATTTGCTTACCTGCTGAACAGTGACATATCTGGAGGAGAGCAATTAGGGAGCACTGAGCATGGCCAAGTACTGCTGAAGCTGAATGTACAATTGCAATGCAACATTTGCTTTTAAACTTTGCCTTATTCTCTACATACTAATGGCTGTGGGACTAAGTCTAACATTTCAGGCCCTCTGAATAACTCTTAGACAGCACTTCCACCCTCTACCCTCCAAAAAAAACCAAACCCTCCTACAATTAGAAAGCTTCTTCCAGTCACTGAAACACGGACATCTGCAGAGATTAAGAGCAGAGTATATGAGAACTACTTACAATGGGTGTTTGTACAAGTTTGTACAAGTGAACCATAGCAATTTAAAGCTAAAAAGAAAATGAAGAAACTTGGCAATTGTCAGCGTCAGTTAAATAGCTCCTTTCAGCACTATGGTGGTTTGCCTTGCTCAAGTGCTACCTGTGAAGTGAGCTTTGTCAATGAGGGATCAGAAACCCATTATTAATCATCTGACAAAGCAGAGGAGTACCGAGTGGCAGGCAACATGGCGCTGCAGCAGGAATGCTCAGTTGCCACGTTGAGGCCACCACATTTTAATGAGGCAAGGCTTTGTCACCTAAATCCTCTCTGACCCCTGAGATCACACAGCCTGATACGGGGTTGATCCATTGAAGGTCCAGTGCAGGGCGTTTTGGTACCCTATCTGTAAGAGTACTCATGTTTCTGGAGGACTGAGGTCATCTTGAAGGTCACTTGTTTTCAGTGACTTGTTTTCAGTGGTCAGACATCACACCTACATGTGTTATGGAGATAGCCAAAGAGAAGAGTTTATGAAACAGTGATTGGACACCTAAAGCAGAGAGAGGACGTGCATTTCAATTAGCCAGTGAGGAGTAGGCAGCTCTGGAAAAAGGTGACTTTCCCTATCTCTTCCTCTTCCTTATGTCTGCGATGGGCACAGATGTGTGTCCACAACAGACAACAGTATGTTGTGCCCTAGAGACAGTTTCACATCTGGTTTGTTGGCAGCAGCAGTGAAGCTGTGACTTCACTAAAGACTGGGAGGGTGGTGAGGCACTGGCACAGGCTGCCCAAAGAAGCTGTGGCTGCCCCATCCCTGGCAGTGTTCAAGACCAGGTTGGACGGGGCTTGGAGCAACCTGGTCTAGTGGAAGGTGTCCCTTCGCATGGCAGAGAGTTGGAACTGGGTGAGCTTTAAGGTCCCTTCCAACCCAAACCATTCTGTGATTCTACATTTGTTGTTCACCCACTGCTGACGGGTGCAAGCTGTGAGCCTGAGGGTGCATGTGGCCAGCTCAGCACAGGAGCAGCACTGCTGGGGGTGATGGCCCTGCTCCTGCACCCAGTAGAGCCTGAAAAGCATGACTCATGGAGCAAACCCTCCAGCACTGCTTCCCTTTGCAGCAAGCGCCATCACCAGTGGTGGGGGCAGACCCCCACACACTGCACTCCCTGCCAAGGCGTTCATTGATTTAGGACACAGTCCAAAGAGGGTAAAGGTGCTCCTTGCTTTCTGAAAGCTTTATAGAAGGCCTTCAAATAGCATAGCCTGGAGCTGCAAGAGTGTTTCTACCTGTGGTCAAACACCCTCCTTCTCCCTGCATTCACCCAGAGCCAAGGGGGGTCTGGCCCCTCTCCTCCTTATACCACACCAGCCAGTACTCTGAGTACAAGATGGCTTAGCTCCTGGGTGAAACCCTGCTGTACGCAGGGGATTTGAGTCATCTCTAATGAAGTGATTTTTTCTTTTTCACCCTTTTTTTTTGGATGAGGAGGCTTCAAGAAAGGAATTTGGAAATCTCCAGCCCCTTTCCAAAAGCTTTCATTAAAACAGCCCATAAAAGCAGCCTCTGGAAACTTTAGGAGGCCTTTAAGAAAAAAAAAATTAAATTGAAATTCAGTTTTATTGAACAAATGGGCAGCACTGAAAATATTCAGAAAATTAAAATTAATTTGAAAATAATTAAAAATCAGAGAAGCTCAGTGAATGCTTCCAAGTCCTGGGTAATATTAAAGTAACATTAAAAAATCGCAAAGGAAATTTACTGTGAGCAGGTGTTTGAAATAATTGGGGGAGAAAAAGGCTTGACTATTAATTAATGGAGAATTATGAACGTCCCTTGTTGGAATTTTTTCTTGTAGTCAACATATTTTTAACCACATGAACTGAGCGAACACATTCTAAAAGTGTGGAGTTGCTTTACAGACACATACAGGGAGCTGAGTGTTATTTTATCCCCATTTATTCTGTTTTCACCAGTGGCATGCATTTAGCAGGAGCTGTTGAGAGGACTGAGGTCCTATGGCAAAGTCTTCCCCACCAGCTATAAAGCACAAAGGCTAATATTTTCAGGACAAAAACTCTTACGCTAGGGTCAGAAGCACTGAAAACTAGAACACGGTGACTGGCTTCAAGAAATGCAGATGAAGAGCCTGGTTATGCATAGGAATTCACTCTGGGGCTTCAGCCGAACAGGTTTTTGAATACCTACGGAACTCATTAGGGCCCCGTACAGACATGGACTGGGGCCTGATTACAAGCTCAAGATGTGGTCACAGTACCACGATGTTCCCAGCAGAGCAGTGTTGCTACCAACACTGATTACATTAGGCACCCCACTAGAAGGCATTTTTCAGAAGAAAGAAGAAACAAAGCCTTTGTGTGAAGGTGATACAGGCCTCTAATTTGGAAGGCAATTATCTTGCCTATTTGCATAGGAAGGACACCAAGAAAGGAGCTTTGCTTCAGTTAACTGGCACAGCGCTGTTTAAATGATTGGTGGTCTCAGGGCTGTCTTGAGCGGGTACAAAGGAGCAGCAGATGCATGCCCTGTGCTTGGCTGTTGTAGAATTGTTCTCTGGTCTCTTAACTTCCTCCCAGCTGGATTGCAATGGCTTTGCTCTATGTTGGCTGGGAGCACAGGGCTGCTTGGGGCGTGAGTTCAGCTCACCAAACTGCCTTTTGGTCAATACAACTTACGGCTTAATCAGGGGGGTGTCTTGTTGTGTACTTAGATCTTACACCTGCAAAGCTCAGGCTCATCAAACACAGGCTGATATAAAAGGGAGCCTTCCAGTTTAAGAAGCTCCTCAAGCATGGTGAATGTCTCAAGTGCTGCAACCAGAGTTGTGGATAATCATGCAGAAAAAAGTGCTACTTACTGAATACAAGCTGGTGCCAGTCAGATTCTTTCCTGCTTTCTCACCCTGTAATTTTTTTCTCAGTTTTTTCCTTTGCTCTTCTTCTTTTCATTAGCCAGCCCAATTTATGGTTGATTTAAAACTCTGCAGGAAACATTCCTTCTGATTTCAGGCTGTTTTATTAGTATGAACTCCTAGATGGGGTAAGGTTAAAGTACATTCCCCAGAGAGCAATACTGAGTAACAAGCCAATGTTCCAAGTGTGACAATTTAGGAAGAAAAGAGTGACACCAGGTTCCTTGAGTGACAGAGCACCAGCAATATCAGTAATCTCTTCTTTCCTCCCAGGTGACCTGGCCTAAGGACTTGCAGCACAATTGCAGCTGAGAGCACCTCAAGTCCTAGTTATTTTCAGAGCAAGCTGCTTTCTTACAACAGGTGAGCACAAGCTGTGAGTCTGAGCAAACCTTTGACTTAAGTATATTTGTTTCAGTGGAAATTACTCTTCTTTTATCTTCACGTATCTGGAGACAGCAGCTGGAGAAAAGGCCATGTTTCTTTCTATTACTTACTGAATATGATACTATTTATAATTCATACTGTACATGACAGGCACATTAAATACAGCAAACAAAAACCCTGGAGTAAACAAAATCAGCATTTATTCCTCAGTCATCTTTTTACAAGGTTGCTTCACGTTTTTCACAAAAGAATTCATACCAGAGGTACATGAGTTAATCTACAAAACCAGATATGCAAGCCAAAGTGATATGGTACATGAATATTCACATGCTTCATAATTCTGTATTCACATGCCTGTCATCTAAATTCAAGAGAAGTTGCTCTGGGGTACCCAAACCTTAGTTCTGCCACACCAAAATGTGATCACTAACTCCAAGGACAAAGCTAAAGAACATATTTACAAAGCATTATCTCTACCAGTCTTCCTCTAAGATTTGAAACAGGTAGGTAATTGTTCAGCTACCAAGCCTTCATGGAAGGTGAAATAGTCTAACGTCCCTAAATGGATTCATGCAATGTTTAGTTTGATTCACACAAGACACAAGGACAAGTATCTATTGGTGATGACATAACTAGTATGTGAAGATGCAGCATCCTACTGGAAGGAGTTTAGAGCATCGGTGCTCATTCATTCACCACTACTCTAGGTTTGACACTAAGCAAAACTTCAAGTGTTAACACATATTCAGAGTTCACAAGCTAGGAATTTCCCTGCTTACTGGTGGTGCCACAGGAAGGGATGGGATGCTTCCAGGTCACCATCAGCAGAAAAGAGCTGACAAACACCTACTTTTCTCACAACTCCAGCTGAAAGATGCTGTCAGTGATTTGTAATATCAGCATTAAATTGAAGATGCTAAAATGACCCTGACTCCTACTGCAGCAGTTTAACCACTGCATAAAAACCGTATGTCGATGGAGATTCCTTAGCTGTTAAAAAAAAAATCAGGTTCTTTTTATTTTTACTGGTCAGGAAAGTAGATTTTTTTTGACAGGGATTGTGGATTAAGCTGAGCTTTTGTACTACTCACATCACAAAAGTTAAACCAAGCACTTCAGTTATTTAATTCTGTGGAGCTACACTGTTATTTCTGCTTGGAATCAAGTTATAGCAGAATTTAGCTTAGGCTTTAACTTTATTCAGCTTCTGACATTAGAAGGAATATGAAAAAGAAATTAAGAAGTAGCTTCTGTTGTAGTCTGCAGAGTGGATTACCACAGACTGCCAACTGCTTATGCTGTGAAGGTACTCTGGGAAGCAACTGGCTGCAGGTGCTCACAAACTGGACATGATAATATGGACGTCTTTCAGCAGTAAAGGTTTTTACCCATTTCAGAGCATCTGGTATATTCACTATGTAAAAAGAGTTGAAAAGCCAAGAGTGTCCCACTCTGAGCCAAATAAATTCGCTTCTAATCCAGATGCTAAATTCAGACTACTGTAGCATACCTTGGGCAAAATTCTCTGAGGTTTCCTCTAGCTGAATCTCTCTGCTGCATCTATAGAAATGGGAATAACAGCATCCTAATCCTCATGAGCACCATGTGACACCTGTCTTTCAGTGCTTGACATGCTTTTCTGAGTACAGTTACATCTGTGACTGGGAAAACCTGTCAGTCACAGGGTGCCTTCAACTTCCAGTGACTTCCTGCAGGTTTTGCCTGCAGAACATCCCCTTTGTAACATTACTGCTAAAACTGCCTTTTCAAACAGAAAGACCTCTCCTTTTTTTGCAGTCCAGCAGGGAGTCTGTATGGAAACCTGGAGGTCAAACCACCTCCTAATATAAATCACTATGTTCCCATGATATGGCTTTTAACTTTTACACATCGGAAAAAATACAGTGGTGTACACAGACCCAGTACCGCATCTTGACACTTTATCCCTTCCACAAGTGATATTTCTGTATCACTCTTGTACATGCAGCCATCTCTAACTGCATGTAGGTATACAGGTAAATGGAGTAATGACAGTTAGTACAGTGCTGTTCACACCCAAATCTGCTCTCAAGCACAGTAATTCACAGTTTCCAAATGCAATTGCCTAAACTGATACACAACAAAATTATAATGAGCAAACTCACATAGATGCACAGACATATTAGAACCTAGGCAATTTATTGTTATTACCTAGTAGAAAATAAATAATTATGTGTCAAACCAATAATTTAATATAGCAATCTCTAGCTATTAGTCATTAGAGAACATATTTAAATCATAGAATCACTGACTGGTTTGGTCTGGAAGGGACCTTAAAGATCATTGAGTTCCAAACCCCGTGCCATGGACAGGGACATCTTCCACTAGATCAGGCTGCTTAGAACCCCCAGCCAGCCTGGCCTTGAACACTTCCAGGGATGGGACAAAGTAAAACAGAACCAAAAGCAAACTTCCACACACCAACAGACACAAAACAGCATGCTGCTCAAAGTGCAATGAGACAGAATTAGAAGGCCACTAAAAAGAAGCTGTGTCAAGTTATTATTTAGCTAAAATTACAACAGTCAGAAAAGATACAAACAAACATCTCTGGAAACATTTTTCTCAGGCATATTGCTATACATAGCAATGATAATTACACAGCAGTATATTTTTTTTATCCTTACAGTGATAATGATATTGGAAATGTGCCTCCCTTTTGACTCAGTGCCACAAATCTAGTCTATGGAGCAGTAACAAGAAGTATGCTAGGGATTTTTAACTCCTCCGCTGGACACCTGAAGGCCTATGCTTATGCTTAACACTGGGCACCAAATGGCACCTTCAGTCACTGTAGAGACTCATTCAGTCCAACCTCCTCCTACTGTCCCCACCTCAACTTCATCCCCCACTCACAGGAGCTGTTCCAAGGATGAAACAGTGGGACAATTTACAGATAAGACTCAAGAGTGTGAGCATCATTATCCATGTTAGTATGAAAGTTAAATCCCTTCAGTACATTAGCACACCGCCCTGTTGCACAAGCAAGAAGCTAGTGAGGTGCCTTCTCCTCAACTCATGCCTTATAAAAGGGACTAACCTTTCACGGTGTGTGAAGTACGCCAAGCTCTTCCAACCTCCCTAGTAATTCACGTGTGTGTATTTCTGACAGAGCATTTTACGGATGAGCTCTGAACGTGCATAACAAGACCACATTTTCCTACAGCTCCTGGAAGATTTGTGCCTGACTCAGAACAACACACTCTAGCACAGGGCTGACCTTTATAGCACTAAGCTCTTAACTACTACTCAGATGTATATATCCATAAATTACAAATCCTCTTAATTCAACTGAGCAACAAAGCAGATAAGACTGTAGTCACACTGTTATTTTAGTATAGTTAATAAGATTCAAAATTACATGCAATTTATTCACACCCATGTAAAATCTACCACATGAAAAACAAAACCCCCAACCCAATCCTACAATACTGCCACTAAAGTGCATAATGAGATCTTGTCATTCCAAAGTGGTTTGCTGCATTTCAATAGGATCATCGAATTGTTTACTGTGCAAAAAGCTACAGCATCTTGAGGGCAGTCAGAACAGGAGTGCGAACTCCAGCCCTGACAGAAAAGTAGCTTTTCTATTTATTTTGCACAGGCAAACATAAATGGTAACTAACAATAAGCAGCCCTGTTTCTACCTAAAAGTCATATGTTCGTTTTCTTCCTTTCAGACTGCTTAGTCTTTTCCCAAAGAAACTTCCTGCTAGTCAAATTTACTTTATTTAAGACTACAAATAAGCACTTGAAGGTGGCAGTGCTCTACATGGTATCAAAGTTACATGGTGAGTCATTGTGTGATAATAGTAATGGGTCTCATATATTTGCAACCACTAGTACAACACATCAGTATTTCTTAGATTCCACAGCTGTAAGAAGCCCTATTCATTTACAGGAGCAGTCTTAAGAGATCTACTACGATGGCTTTAAAACACTGGATCAAACTGGCTGTAGAGAATGTTATGGCCATGATGTCCCATTAATGGGCCCCTTTTATTTCAACATGAATACTATCCAAAAAGGACAAAGGTATGGAAAACAATTCATTGGGTGATTATGAATAATACTGGTTTGTCTTTATGTTGATCCCCTTCAAAAAAAAAAAAAGACATAATTTAAATATAAATACATATGAAATGTATAGATAAATATATAGAGATAGCTATATTAATATGTAATCAATCAGAACTGGATTAATCAAAGGAAATCTAAAGGCACCACAATACGTCAGCATTACTGAATAGAATACTCACTATACTTTGCATTTATGTAGCTCTGAAACCAAGCAGTTAGAAAGCCATATACAGCAGGGAATAAGTCTCATTATTTTAATCTCACAACCTAGGCAACTAAGACTCAGATTCATCTAACGATGAGCCATACACAGACAATCTCAGGTAAAGAATTCAGCTGTTTTGACTCCCATTTCTTTATCTAGTTAATAATCAGAAAGTCTGGGAGCAAAATAAGAAAACTTTAGAAAACAGAGTATTTTCATTTGGATTTGTGTCCAGAGGTTATAATGAGCAGAGCACTGAATCTTCTCTTTGCCAATAGTCTTAATCAGTCCTATTAGCATTAAACAAATTAGCTGGTATAAAATCACCTTCTGTTAAAATAACTCCGAATTATACTTGCCCGTTGGAAAAGACAGTCTGCACAGGTACAAGTGAATAGTGCCTTGTTCTCTTTCTTGTTTAATTAATCAAAATGCATTTAAAGGAACAGTAATTCATCAGGCTAAAAAATCCTGAAGTGTGTCATACCACGGCTGCAGCAAACTCGCCTATGTGCAAGGAAAGCCTCATTTCTCACTTCCACTGGTGTTACATTAACACAGCTTTAACTTTGGTTGAGCTAATCCTTAGCTCATTTTAGTGTGACAGGAAAAACAAACTTCAAATCCTCTACATAAGGCAGCTTTAAATTGGCTGCAATTTCTCCTTTTCTTTTCTTTTTTTTTTTTTTTTTTGAATTATTTGACTCCAGTGTCAAATCAACCTTGGATACAGATACAACACAGTGACAGACTGCCTTCTAGGCTGACATGAGAAACAGTCAATTTAACCTTATAATTTGAGCCTTCAATAAGTAAATGAGGATGTAAGGTAAGGTGAAAGGTTCGTTACAAATTCAAGCTAATGTAGTGCTCCCAGACATGAAGAACATGGTGCTCCATAAGAAACACCTTCCTGTGACCTGGAGAAATACTTTCCTTCTTTCAACAGCTGAATAGAGAAGCAGCAGCTCAGCAATGTTCTGCGGCTAAAGTGCTGTTGGTCCGTTTAGAAGTCTCAGTCACGGCAGTGGGGTAAAGCACCAAGACTGCTGATATTTTCAAATCTCCTAGCAGCAGTAACCACACAGCAGCTTTTCTGCAAAATAAACAAAACATGAATCCAGTTAATTCAGCAGTATACTTTTTCTATTTGGTTAAGCATTCTAGGACAACCACATGGTGGTTTCTTCGTGCATAAGAAAAAAAAGCAGCGCTGAAGCTTCTTGCTTACAAAGGGTTCTTGCAGCCACCTATTTGTGAGATGTTTTATACAATATTAAAAAGACAAGGCCTCTTTGTTGTGCGGAGAAATAGTCCTGGAGGTCTCTCTTGAAATGCAGCTACTCTGGTTTTTTGCCTCTCTTGTCACACAGATCACAGCATGAAAAGGCATGCTGCAAACCTCTCCATTTATTTGTTTTACCACTGCAAGCATTTATAAAGCCAGGTCTAAATCAACTGGCACTTGAGTGTATTATTTTGGGTTGAATGTGGTAACCATACTACTTGCCTGATAAAAATAGCTAAAGGGATTCTTTAAAAATAAAGCATTGCTATGACTTTAGATCCACTCATTAAGTAAACTCAAATAAACTCCAAAAAGAAAAACACATGCAGAGGAAATAACACTGGAAAAGCCAAAACCAGGTTTTCCTGCAAGTTAGATCATGGGTAGGTTACTATGTTACAAAGCTATAAAAAGTTTATTTAAAAATAATTTTGACTGCTGTTGGACGGTCAATTTATCTCAAAGTTGATTTTGGTTGTCATAGAAAAATGTGTAATATGGTGCTTCCTGCATTAGAGAGGGAGAATTTTCACCATTTGGTTGCTGCGCAGTTCATGGCTGAAACGGGAAATACAGATAAAAGCACTAGTCCTGTAACAGTCAGGAAAACCTGCTTAGAAAACTACTACGCAGAAGCACACAGGTGAGCAGACCAAAGCTTCACCTAACCTGTCCCAGCACCAGTGAAGTGGGGACGAATGCTGAGCATCACAGAGAAGTATTCATTCCCACTGGGTTCCCACGACAGAGGCTGATGCTCAGACAATACCATATCAGGAATTTATGTGGCTTCAGAGAGCAAGCAGGATATAATAATGGCACCTTAAATCTCACCGACCTCCAGTGTACCACAGAAATGGAGTTTCAGGTCCCTGAGATAGCTCATTGAAAGATCTATAACTTCTGTGTAACTATACTACACTGCATGAAATCTGTTCTAATCTCACTCAAAACAGAACTGAAATTTCAACCTCTCACAATACTTTTTTACATTTCTGGACGAACCCCGCTGCAAACAAAACCCAGTATATCACTTGCCCTACCAAGCAGATGATGGATGATGGCAGCATTAAAAACTTGCTTGTGGTGGAAAGTGGACTACTTTTATTTTGGCATCCTGGTTGTTACTCATGACGCACAACAGAAAGGAAATGGTTTTACAGTATGTGTGCTCTCAGCCTAATTCACATCTTGACCCTCCACTGAGTTTTGGACAGAGATGCCCCCATAACATTTGAGAGGTTCCCATGGTCCTTCAACAGAAGCACCAATTTCTGTGGTAGCCAGTAAAAGCTGCTGTGGGAATTAGTGTACTGGTTTATGGAGATACTGTACCGCCTGAGGCAGCCTGATTTCAAAGCAGCCAAGTGAGTATGCTTTGGTCAAAGACCAGAGTCAGAACATGAGAGCAGACTTGAGTGTCCCTGATCCCCAGGGGAGGCAACCAAGCCTGCCTGAGAACCACTAATGAAGTGTTTGTTAATGAAAGGGCAAAGACAGGCAGCCAGAAAAAAAGGACAGACTGAGAGATGCTCTACCAAAATTGTTTGGGTTGCTACAGGCTCGAAGGACAGAGAAGTGCTCTGTTAGAACTGGGTCCTCAGAACTGTGGAGCGGCTTCTTTTAGGGGACACCTTGCTTTCATTTCTCTACAGTTAGTGGAGCTGCCCTGAGGGTCTGGCTCGTGTCTCTGCTAAAAAGTAATTACTTTTCATATTTCTACCCGTTTTAAACCATACTCCTAACAGCATGAAAACCTGAAAGCTTTCAACACTGAAAAATTATTGGGTGAAACCCTGCCTCGTGAGAGCCAGTGGGAGCATAACCATTCCCTCTAAAATGGCCAGGTTTTGCAGCACATATAGCTTCATACATATGAAGTTTTTTGCGCATTGCTGTAACTTGGTTTAAGTGATAGGGCCAGTTTACATTTTGAATACTTTCCAGACAACAGCAGGGATGGTGGTGGTGAATACAGTTTGGACAGTGGCTTTGTTTTCATGTTTTCAGCTGCCCACTGATCCCTTCTGCAGAGGATACAGTATTTACATCTGAAGAAACGTTTGAGACCTGAAACAAACCTTCTGTTTGGCAGCTCTTTGAGAACGGTTATTGAGCCGGAGGTGGTTGGGACGCAGAGTCACCTTTAGCCGCCTTCTAGGAGGTAAAAAAAAAGAAAGATGCCATTGCTGCAGTATTAATTGAAGATCAATCACATTTAAGGTGATGTTGGAACACTGCAAAATCAGCAAGTTTAGCAAAGCTATTTTTCAAGCTGCACAAGAAATATGAGCAAAACATACCAAGGGAGGAGCTAAAAAGGAACACATGAGTTGTAAGGTTTCTATTAGGGTAGGGTTTCCCCGAGAAGAAAACTGGTGATGGGAAGAAGCACAGCAGGTAAGCAGACTGTGTTCTTGCAGCATTTGGAAAAGATAGCTTCTTCCCCAGGTGGCAGGAATTGGAGCTTCACTGGAGTCCAGCTAAAGGATTTGAATTGTACCCTATGAAACTCCCTGAAGAGATATGTAACCGTGACAAACTCTCTGATTTTTACTGTGCATGTACACTTACAGATCTTCTAACAATCTCATGGGCATAGCTGTTCTGGGAGATTTTAATGAAAACTACATTTTAGTGAAAACTGTGATAACTTATTTGATTGTTATTATTTCCCATTTTATACTGCTTTTTGTTATCCTTACACTGTATAACAGGAACATTTTGCAAGGACAGAGCTGTCAGGCCACTACTCAGTCCATCCTGCCCAGAACCCACACCGCCTCATCAGTAGAGGTACTACTGCTTTATTGTCATCATAAACTTTGCTGTTATTTTTTTTAACGAATAATATGGTATCTTAATTCTTAATGATGGCTGCAGCTCAAAAGGCACCTTGATATATATCAGCAGCCTTCCAGTATTGGAAGGGGGCCTGTAAGGATGCTGGGGATGGACTCTTCATTAGAGACTGTAATGGCAGGACAAGGGGTAATGGGTTCAAACTTAAACAGGGGAAGTTTAGATTAGATATAAAGAAGAAGTTCTTTACTGTGAGGGTGGTGAGGTACTGGAATGGGTTGCCCAAGGAAGCTGTGAATGCTCCATCCCTGGCAGTGTTCAAGGCCAGGTTGGACAGAGCCTTGGGTGACATGGTTTAGTGTGAGGAGTCCTTGCCCATGGCAGGGGGGTTGGAACTAGATGATTTTAAGGCCCTTTCCAACCCTAACTGTTCTATGATTTTATAGATGTCCTAGGCAGCATTTTATTTAACATAGGTGTGCTTTGTCTGCAACAAAGGAGGAAGTGAATATTGCGCTTCAAATGCTGTAAAGATTCTGACACCTGGCTTAAACTGGGCTTACACCACAAGACCTGTTTAATCTCCTCAGGAACCACCAAACCAGAGTGGACTCACTTAAAATCAGCCAACAGGAAGCTCATGAACAGTGTGGCTCTCCTGAACTCACTGACTACTTTTACAGAGGAATAATAAAAACAACTTAAAACTTATTGATCCTCCAGCTCAGCCCAACTGAATCGCTTGTGTGAACAAACAACTGCTTCTTTTGTGCTGGCCACTAAGCTGGCTACCCTCAAAGGGCAAGACACTGCTTAGGTACAAAGATACATACGGGGTGAGGTCCCAAGCTCTGTTGGATAGGTATCCCTTGGGAAGAGGTAGGATGAAATCTAACAGTACTCATGGGGGACTTGAGGAGAGTCTGAAAGGGTTTTCAAAACAGGACTCAGAATCATCCCCAGCTGGAAAACTCTTTTCCTATGGTAATGCAGTGCTTATTTTGTAAAAGGTCTAATTTTGCTAAGAAATGGATCCACTTAGTAATCGCATGATCTTATATTTCTTATCAGATGTGCAAGAACTGATGAGCAAGTATGAGCATGCAAATCATAACAAAAAAATAAAGCAAAGGGACACATGTGGCTCACAGTGGCAAGAAATGCAGCAGCAAGGAAGATTCAAAAACAGTTAAATGTTAAAGCAAAGAGCGATGTGGCAACACAAGAAGGCAACAGCAGATCTACAATACACAAGGATATTTAAATTTAGAGACCTGGAGTCTGCAGTGGAGCTTGTGGTCTGATAACCATGGGTGTTTTAAGGCAGCAGTTGCACTTAATCTCCAGCTAAAGGAAAACCAGAATTCTATTAAGAGTTTTTCCCAGAATCTTACAATTCAATTATCTCCCACAGGTCATATATTCTGCCATCATGCAACGCTGTCATTTCAGGATACTATGCCAGATGACAGCTAATCCATGAAGTAAGTAAATTTCGCTTCACAGCAAAAATGCATTCAGATAACTTTAGAGCATTTTATGGACACAATGAACAACATGAATGAAGTGGCATTGTGATATTGTATGTGGACATAAAAAAATAGTTAAGTCATGATAGTACTGCAATAGAGCAGCACAAGTGACACAACCATGACATGATGGCATGGAACACACATTTCAAAGATATAGGGATTATATACCATTTATCCTTGATGAGAAGCTTTGAGATGAAATCTTTGGCCTGATCAGAAACACCTCGAAATTCCTCATCTTCAAAATCCCAGCTACAGGACAGGATGTTGTTGAGGGTCTCATTATCATCATCACCCAAAAAAGGAGACAATCCACTGAGGCTAAAGTAAAAAGGAATATGTTCAATCCCCCTATCTTTTCCCCTTCCTGTACACGACCTCCAATGTGTCACTTATGACTGTTCTGCCATTCCTGGCCTATCTTGCAACATATTATTGTCTAAAAAAGTCTCCAGACCATTCCCATTCTCTCTTCTATTCACTTGTTTAAATAACCACCCTTCTTCCCTGATAAACCAAGCATTACTGTCTTTCATGGTGGGTCATATTTTCTGGCCACTCTTGCACATACCTATTGAGAACTTACCAAGCAGTCTACGTTATTCTGGAAGTGTGATGTTCAAACAGTCATGAGAGATGTGCAATGAAACAAAGAAGAAAACTTAATCATGACCAAAAAAGTGGAGAGAACACTGAATACAGGATTTGGAAAGAAGCCTACATTTTCTATTTTGGGTACAGATTTTGTCCATCTTCCAATAAAACAACAAATTTGGACTACTGACTCAGTTCAACCCAGAAACAGCTCACAAAGCAAATACTGAATCCTACTCACAGCATATAAGCAATGACTCCTAAACTCCACATGTCTGTAGGAAAGGAGACACATTCATAATTCACAACCTCAGGAGCAAGAAATTCTGGAGTCCCAAAGTTAACTCGAAGTTTTTCCCTGGGTTGATATCTAGGAAATGAACATTAACAGAGGACATCAGTTACAGATCTAATTTAAGTTGCATCTCATAATTTGTCTAGTACTTGGAGCGATTTCAGAAGCATACAAGAAATTCAGTAGGAAAACAAGGACAGACAGAGGTACAAATTAAATATACCCATATATAGAATGAAAAATATTTGCAAGCTTCATATCATACTTTAGGGCAAACCTGAACTCCTATAACAAAGGAAGACATTCAGATTTCAAGGATTCCTCAGAACAGCTGTTATCATCGGTTTTGGACTTCTCCATATCATAGGCATGGAATTTTTAACCAGTAAATCCTTCACTGAAGTTATGGTACCTAATTAAACTAGAAAGTGATATAGCATGGGATATGCTGTAACAGTCCTTCATGGTCTCTTACACTCTTTTTTGAAGAATCTCATAATATTGGAGACAGGAGACCAGATAAGATGTACCACTGATTCTGTCCATTTTAGCGGTTCCAAGATAATTATGTGCATGCTTAAGTCAGAATCAGCCCTCTTTCAACCTTCTACCTGAAAAAAAAGGCTTCAAACAAATCTTTTTTACTCCAAACAATCCTTATTAAAAGATAACCCTGGTTAAAAGAGACATGCTAAATCTGTCCTAAGAGCAGCAGGAGAACGTTATGTATCAAATTTCATTGCAGAGATGCAAGACTTTTTTCATTGTTTCCTAATTCATTTACGATTAGCAGGAACACATGCACGTACCTTCTTGCCAATCCAAAATCAATAATTTTTATTTGATTTGCTTCTCTGTTCACACACAGGATATTCTCAGGCTGCAAAGAGAAAGCAAAAAATACTTTAATGAGAAACAAGTGTCAAAAAATGGGTTTCTAGAAAACTGTAGAGAGAAAAATACTAAAAACACAGCAAATATCTTATAAGCACTTTTTGCTTTCCTTCTTGTTCAGATTTTTCTGCATAGGTACTCCCTGCTATCACACAACAGTTGGGGCTGTGTGTTCTGTGCCTTGCAACTGCTTTTTCTTCCCCTTGTCTTTTCAATTTGACATAAGGCAGCAGTTCAGATAAAGAACTAAATAGGGGGAGGGAAGATAGAGCCTGCAGACTTCCAAAGTCGGGTATCAGGATGCTGGCACTGTGGTTTTACAGACCTTAATAAACTGACACTGATTAAAAAAAATATAATAATTTCTTGGGCTTTGAAGTTTATCTTACAACGTTAAGTTTCTGAGCTCACAAATGTTCTGACAGTAATTGATTGAACACTGATATATTAAGCTAGTCACGTCAACTTTATGCTTTTCTCAGATATTTCAGCAAAAGGTAGGATTCACAGGTTAAATCCTTCTGGGGATTTGCATAGGGTCAAGTGTTGTTCTTCACTTCTCTGGCAGGAATCCATTAACTTCCTAGAATTACGCCAAATTCATACAGAAGGGACTGAGAACAGAATTTAGCCAACTGTCTTTGAAATGTAAATACCTAAAATACAGTCTCATATTCACTGCCAGCAGTTTTATAGCTACTCTGTCTTGTTGCTCACTGAATCCTCTTTGAAACAAAACAGGCCTCAACACTTAAAACATTAGTTAACCTTTGCCACCATTGCTAATTCATTTTACATGTTGGACTTTTAAACACCATAGGACTTTTAAACACCAGATGTCCATAGTTTCTGAGATCTGGATGATTATGGTCAGGATGATTTTCTTTCAATTTCAAGCTTTCTTTCCCAAACTCATTTGTTACTGACAGCAATCTATGAACAAGCAAAACAGAAGGGAGAAGCCATAGCTGGCAAGCACACGAAAAGAGGTCGCTGGGAAGAATTTCTTGGATTGTATATGTATCCTTTTGTCAGTAGTTTGACCTCATATTAAAACTGTGCCATCTCCAAGGTTATACTTAATGTGTCCCAAAGAACCATGCAAACTTCTGCTTGACAGGTTTCTAGGTAACTGGATGTTTATAAAAAAAGAGAAAAGTGAGTCTGGTCATTGAACAGCAACTTAAGCAGGTCCCAGCAAGCATCTGCTCATTTGCTTAACCACTGCAATAATATATACGCTAATAACATTAAAGATGTACTATATTAACCCAGTAATTACAAGCCAAAGCCAGCAGCTGTAATAAAAATCTCACCAAAGAGAAAACCATCTAGTGCACTTTTTGTTTATTTTTGCTTTGTTGCAAAGCTCAGGGATCACTAGGAAGCTTTACAGCCAGTCATAAAACTAAAGAGATCATCCCGTTTTATTCCTGCACTGAACAGAGGTAAGAAATAAGCCTACTATTTGATAAAAACTTGGGTTAAGGAAGAAAGAGACAACTTAAATATACAGCCTAATGAAAAAATACCCTTACAACAAATGTTTTCCAAGGGGGGGGGGGGGGGGCAGTTAACCATTAGCAGTCAACCAAAGTAAGAATTTGCAATTGGTGGATTGTTTTTTAAAAATAAGTGAGGGGCCTTTTCGTGTATATAGTGAAATAGTTCCGATAACTAAGCAAGTACATGGCAACCTGCCACCCTTCCCTGGGCTTTCAGCTACAGTAGCAATTATTGCCTAACCCAACATAGATGTTCTGCATTTGTTACATCAGCCACTGACTATTTTTATTTATTTCTTTAATTTCAGCAAGTACATTTTAATGTGTTTTCTCTTAAGCTGGCTATCTATTGCTGCCTTTTCATGACTACAACAGAATAGTGTAGTCCTCAAAAACATGTGAGGACTTCTACTGATCCTGAATGACCCTTGAATTTAGTTCCACTCACTCATGCCTTGGTTTCTGCATGGTAAAAAATGGAGATAATTGCAACCCTATGGCCTACATGTAAAACAGAGATCTTGTGCAGTTGAATTAAATAAGATTTGCATGCTATTTTGAGATCCAAATATCAAAATTGAAAATAGCAAGATACTTGTCAGCTGCTGGCTTTCTGTAAAATCAGTCTGCGGAAAATTCAAGCGCTATGAGGCTTGATGACGTATGACCACAATTCTTGTCTAATTTACTTACTCCTGTAGTAATTTAACTGATCTCAATGTGGTTAAAGTAAATACACATTGGTCTAAGGAAAGCAGAATAAGGTCCTTTGTAGTTTCTGCCATGGGAATCTAAGCTGTATGGCTTACCATTAAGAATAAGAATTTCCACAGCTGTCATTGCACAAAACATACATCTCAATTCTCTACCTTGAGATCCAAATGAAGAATGTACATTTGGTGCATGTACTGAATTCCCTCGCAGATGTGTTTTATGAACAAGATAGTATCCATCTCTGTCAAATTGCAGTTTTCATCAATAATTCGGTCAAATAACTCTCCTCCTTCCACACTGATGAGAGAAAGACAGTAAATTGGTAACCAAGTCCAAGTCCAATCCCATACAGTTAGAGTAATATAGCATTTATGCTACTGACTATTTTAATACTTTACAGTCAAATTCAGTAAGGCAGGTATATGATATGAGCTTGTACTCTGACCTGAACTTTTCAAGAACTGGGTTCTGCTACCTACTGGCCTGAATTTCTTAAAGGTCTGAGAGCCCAGCCTCCCATCCATTGATACCCATGAACGTCTGGAAATTTGAACCCTGTGCTATCTTGTGTCATCATTTTATACCAGTAAAATTAATGAAGTCACATGCAAAACCAAGATAATATGTTGGAGAATCTGCATTTAAATAACTGTCAAAAAATGTATTTAATTTGGCTTTAAATTCATCAGAGTTTAAGAAAGACAAGGTCCAAAATTTCAATTTGAAACTATCTAAAGTCAACAAAAAATTACTTCTAATTTCTCATCATATTTCAGAATGCCTCCAGCTTCCCCATTCACAGCTACACAGGCATTTCCCTTTTCTGATATGTTAATCATTTAGACCAAATTCAGAGGACTATCTGAATGTCCCAAAGAGCCACATTCACAGAACTTTGAACCTTCTGCCATGCCTTTCTATCTTTTAGTTATGCCTTTTTTGGCTTCCTTATGACAACATCTGCTTAACTTGACTTTAAGGCAACTATTTTGTGCCTAATTAGCTTGATAAGCCAACATGAAAAATAGGTTTATCCATTCTGGCACCCAGTATAAGGATTAAGCACAACTACAGCTGGCTCTTCTTCAGTGTAAGACATCTTCTAGTTTGCTTCACAGAACTGGAGATATTCTGACAAGTCCTTTCCTTAGCTAACTAAAGTTAAAATTTGAAACTGAAGAGAAAATACATAACACAGCTCTATCTTCAAATGGAGCAGTGGTTTTACAGCACCAGGAATGTAGACCATCACTGGAAAAAATGCATAAATGACTGCTTTGGAAAAATTTTCCCTTTAATTTTTTTGTTGTTGTTCCAGAGAACATCTTTCATAAGTTCTTTCCACCTGTAAGAAGCTCTAATTTCTGAAGAAAGTAAGAAGAAAATTGACAACTCTAGTAAAAATGATAAAGACAGAATGGGAAAGAAAAGAACACACTTACTATTCCATGACTAGTACAATGTCATTTTTAGATTCAAAGGCATCATATAGCTGGATGAGGTTCACATGATTCAGCTGGTTCATGACACTGATTTCATTCTTTACTTCATCCTGTAAAGAGTCATGAGTATTGTTTCAGAAAGCTTTTCTCTAAGAAAGCTGCATGAAACAGGACATAGTTTGAACCAGACATCTACATTATCTTTGTGTTTTCACTCGTGGCAACCAAACACATGGTTTTGCTTTGATTACTCCCGCAGTGGTAGATGTCAAGGCTATAGGAACTACTAGGCTGAACTCAGAGCTCAAGTGGGGGACTGCTCCAATAATAAGTTATTTGGGGGTAAAAGGAAGGGAGAGACCATAAGGACAAGTGGTGGGTTTTCAGGGATGTGAAGAAAAGAGAGAAGCAGAATAGGACTTGGTTCAACCAGCTGTAGGAATACAAAATCTAGGTGTGTAGGAAAAGTCCAGAACAGTCCTCAAAACATCCCTTTGCAGTCAGAGGTGAGAGACTGCTGCCTCCATTCAGCCTATTTCAGATGTGCAGCTTAGGATGGGCTGAATCATTCTGTGGTGTGTCAATCTCACTCTGTTGACTAGAAGGGGATTCTTGGTGATCAGCTTTGCCCTTGGCAACCCCAGTTAGCTGAGACAAATCTCACCCTTGAGTGCCATTAGTGTCACTGCTGTCACACGAAGGATGCTATGAATGTTTTTCCTGTGAAAGCAAGCCCCAGATGGCTATGCAGTTTGCAAAACAAGCCAGATGGGTTCTTCTCATCTGTATTTGTGTTGATGTGAGGAACCCAGATCATGCCTGTTATCAGCACCTCTCACAGTGACATCAAGTCTTTGCAGCAAAGGCTGCAGTCTGCTTGGGAGGGAATAACACTATGTCACAGACCTGACATATGTTTTCGCCATTAAGGAAAACACTAATAGAATTAACAGCAGAAAGTTAAAAAAGAAAGCCAAAATGACACAAAATGCTGAAAAGAAAGCTGGAAAACATAAGAGGGAAAATCCAAAAGAGGACTTTGATGAGTTACTAGAAGTTCTGGAGAAGAGAAATAGAACTTGAGCCAATGGTAATCCAGGAGCTCCTATGAGTGTGATGGCTTGTGAGCCACTTGCCCATGGTCTGTTGTGTAGATCACATGCACTGAAGATGTGGGATCCATTGGGGAACAAAAGACTAAAGTCACATTCTACCAACCTTCTGTTTAGGACCTTTTGCTTTTATAATTTTGGCTGCTAGCTTGAGACCTGTTGCTTTCTCTTCACATTTATGCACTTGACCAAATCGTCCTCTGAGGGAGAAAAAAAATAAAAGAGGGGAAAAAAAATAAATCAGCCAGTGGTACTGATGTTATCCCTGAATGTAAACTAGCTTATAAACATCAGAAATTATCCTCTCCTTACTAAATTCCATTTTCAGTTACTCTATTGCTATTTTGTTGTGTAGATTAGATTTGCTACTGCTCAATTACGCACACCAAAATCACCCATTGTGCTAGCTGATATTATCCCACTTCTGTGATTCACTTTACTCACCTCATAACATGCAATGACTAATCCTGGAGAAGTCAACATAATGTCAGGATAACAACTTGCTTATGTGAGCAATCTGTGATCTTCTGATGAAACAAAGCTTTACCCAAGACCATACTGCCATCAGAAATGTCAATATTACTCTTTCCTAAACAATGTCAGCATGAGAGATAATGCAACTACATGGCCTGTCAGATTAGCCTGCTGATCTATCTGAAAACATGCATGCATTTTCAGGGATGGAACCTACTGAGAGAAAGAAGACTACAACATGTCTCTACGTCCTGCAGGCTGCAACGTGAGGTAAAGCATTACAGCATCCTAGGAGCACTGTCATAAAGCCTGAGGGCAGCTGGCTGACCTAGAACAATACCCAATATAAACCAAGTCTGCTGATGCCAAAGCTTAAGCCAAAATTCACCCACACAGTAAAATCAGCCTCCCATTTTCACCCCTTTCTAAAGCACTGTTAGAGCTTAGACTTTGATGACTTTGGCTCTAGTGAGGCATGTTGTTTCCATTCACCTTCCAGCATGCTTGTCTGTAAATTTGTGCCCTGTTTTCCGTATTGATTGGTTTCATCTGACTTACCCTCCCAGGATTTCATTCTCACTGACGTTATAATAACTGCTGATCCCCACCCTTTTGGCTGAGACAATCCGGTGATCAAATGGTGCTGGTGGAGTAGGACTATTGTCTACAAAAGAAAAAACAGACAGATAGCATAATAGTGGTCACATGCAGTACTTGTCTACCTCATATTTTAGTCCCTCTTTTCCCCAGCTAAGCTCACTTAAGAACTGAATACACCTCCTGTATATTTTACAGACAAGTCTTTTTCCGTTATTGAAGAAGGGGCTTAATGCAAGAGCTCTGGCTCAGAAGGCAGGGTGCTGTTGGGGAGCTACACTACTAAGACAAGGACTTTTTTATTAAGTTGCCATCTTCTGCATAACAGTAGCAAGAGGCAAAATGAAGACTGCTAGACTAAACCAATGTAATTTCATGTCCACAAATGGCCTCAGCAATTTGTTTGGAAGGAATTCGGCTTTTTCTCTGATTAGCCCTCCATCCCCCTTCAGGGACTGTTAGTAGTTGACTGTGTACTGCAATTCTCCAGTCAGGTAGGAAGAGACCTGCTCTAGGCCAGCTAAAAGAGGCTACTTTCCAGGTTTTGCTTTTCATAGTGAAGAATCCCCTCCTCTACTGATTGACACAACTTGTCATTTTCCACAGCATGGTCAAAACCTTTAAAAACACATTTATTGCTTGTGAACAGGAGGGAGTTTCACCCTGGCAGGCAGCACCTAGGATGTCCAGTATGGCTCAGGACCCGGTATGGTAGGACACATGGTAACTGTCACATGCTGCTCTGAAGACTTTCTGTCGTTAAAAAAAGATGGCAGGTAAAAAGGTAAGGAGGAGCACAGAGAAGGGACAGGTTCCCAAGAACACATTGCAGCAGCTATGGAGTTTCGGCACAAATGCAGGTCTCTGGTATTATTGTCTGGACCTCCACATGCTGGACCATTCTGACTTCCTGATGTCAAAATCCCTGCTGGAGACCAGCCCTCCACGCCTAATTTCTCTTTGGATTTTTTTGCAGGGTGTTGTGACTTCAATTTCATACCCACGTTGTTTTGCATTTGATTGATATCCCCGAGAGTGACCTCTGGCTGACCAAGGTGACAAATACTTCTTCAACTGGTTGGGAGGGCTAGAGCCCCAGTGTTTCAACATGAGCTCTCTGGTTTGGAATGCCGGCTCCCTTTTGTGAGAGGCTTGTTGAGCAATTTTAAAACCATTCATTACTCCCGTGAAAATGATTAAAAACACAAACAAATATAACCCATGACAGCATGTAGCTGGCAGGAACACTTTGGTCATTAATGGAGCAGTAGATTGTCCTTATTCACAGTGAATGTCCATTTTTCAGGACACCAGCTGCGTACCTAGAATATTTTTTTTTGACTGTTAATAACTTACATGGTCAGGAAGTTAGTTCATGGTCAAGGAATTGTGAAAAGCTGGGGCTTCTGGAAGTTTGCCACTTACTTGGGATTCTGCACAGTCTGAACTGCACAACCTTAAGTATGGGCCTTTGTGTATTACTGAGACCCACAAAATGCCAAGAAAACCTCTACCCTAAAGGCAGAATTTTCACACACAAACTCCAAGAGACCTTGTAAGGGCATGTAAGTGACAGAAGAAAATGTCTCTCTGAAAGCTCAGCTCCCAAATATTACCAAAATCTGAGCAAGGATGTGCTCTTCTAAAGAGGCCAGAGTGCCTCTTTGAAACTATGTCTAAGTTTTAAGCTTCAAGATTTTCCCAGTGACAGACCCTCTACTTTTTTTTCCTGCACACCAGAAGGGATTTCTCTCTATTCAACTATGAATTCCTATTACAGATTAAAGATGCTCCAAGAGAGACACTCTTAACCTTAATGTCATCCTTAATAATGTGGCAGAGCTCGGGACAGCTTATGGAGTTTAAATTTTAAATACGCTATCTACTGTTTCCTGCTAAAGAGCCTAGCACAAACATTTAAGAAATGTTTCCATTTCCTACTCTCCCCCCATTCCCAAAGCAAAGCAATTTATTTTCAGTCCTATGCATGCACATGCACACACATACAACTTCAAATCCTTCATGCCATTCTCTCATGTATCATCATTTCATATACAAGGATAGGCAGTGAAATTCTCAAGCTGGAGGTCTAATAATAGAAATCTCTGCCTTATGCTGGTGAGTACTGCTTCAGAGTTTGGTGCACGAGCAACATTTCTCTGAGTGTTCAACAGCTTCAGTCGGGCTTCCACACAAAAATATATATTTCTTTATTTTATAGGCTGCAGTTGTTCTCACTTCAGATTGCAAAAGTGCAAATATGACCAAGCTGCTTTGCAGGCTACACCCAGAGCATTGCAGATTCTGTGTTAACTCATGCTCTCAGCACTTCCACAGGTCAACCAATTTTGCCACAGATGACAAAATTTCTCCCACCAGTTTAAACTTAGGACTTTTAGCTCTATTGTTAAAAGAAGAGGGAAAGTGGATAGTATTAGTGGACTAGTTGTGGCAGAAGCATGTCAGTTATGACTAGTTTGTGCCAGAACTGAAGCCTCTAAGATGGTAGCAAATAGAACCATGTTATTTCCCATCAGCTTAGGATATGGCCCATGAACAATTGCTTCCTGTTAGAGATACCATGCACACCTTTTCCCCCTCCTAATTACAATCATGAAATCATTCTCTTCTACAGATGTCTCTCTGATCATTACAGTGGAATCAAATGCTTTGCCTTTAGGAATACTTCCTATAAGAGCTTGTTTTTTTTAGTTTTACATGTGCCATCAGCACTTTCTGCATCTACCCTGCTCTTTTCATGGTCATCTTTGATTAGGCCTTCAACATTCAATCCATGCTTACTGCTACCACTATACTCAAATTGGAAGGTCTGCTCAGTGACTCAACTACAATTTCCTGTACCTTTTTCGCAGCCTTTACACCTGCAAGGAAAAAAACATTGCATTAGTGCAGGGTATATTTAAATCAAAGCAATTTAGAAACATAGGTAAAAAATGCCTACAGTATATTGCATTCAAATAACATTAGCTTATTTTTCTTCATGGTGTAAAATAAATTGTTTTAATACTCACTTTCAGTAATAAAAATTACCCCTAAGTTAATCATGACAGCAAAATGTTTCCCCAGTACCAAAATCTTCACCTAAGCTCTTCTAACTTTAATGTTTCGCTATCAATCTCATCTTTAGAGCAATGGGAGAGCATTGGAATTTCACTCTGTACATATAGGTTTGTAAGAGCTTAAACTGGTTCATCACTGAAGGGTTACATATCATTGCAGTGAAGAATTACAGTAAAAAAATTATCAGTTTAATTGCCTGAGCAAAGTTTCATGGGTTTATGTGATCATTTAAGTAACTGCATTTTGTATTAACTTAATTCCCAATTGATACACAGCCTGATCTAACCTTGCTTTGCTCATAGGTTATATGATGCTGCAGTATACAAATACAACAATGGAGAATTCTCCTCAGAAATGAAGACTAGTCCAACACAATTCCCATGTTCCTAAAGTTTTTCCCAAGCAAACAACCAAAGCACACTGCTAGCACCATGTATGGTAGATTGTTTTAAGAGTATAATTTCAGCTTAGAGCTCAGACCAGAGACATAGACTCATTTTACTCTTTTGTACTGGGCTGGATTTTCACTAGTATTTACGTTAACCAGCCACTTTGACTCGAAACTTGAACTTCACTTTCTAGAGCATGAGTCTCTTAAGAATGTGCAGCCTGAGCTTCAGACCTTACCTTCCCTCTGGTACCTCTTCATCATTGCTTTGTCCTGCCTCATCTTCATTTTGGGAAGGAGCTGGTGGTTCCTCAGCATCTTTTTCACTCTTATCGGCATTTTTCTCCCCTTCTTTCTCCTTCTTCTCTTGTTTTTCAGCTCCAGACACCTGATGTTCCTCCTTCCTCTCCCCATCTGCTGGGGGCTCACTCTCTACCTCCTGCCCCGTTATCCTTTCACAAGCATCAACAACATCTTCTTGCTGCTTTTCTGCAGTGATGGATTTCTGAACAGAGCTTCTCCTACATTTGGAATAGCTTTCAAAAGCCAAACTTTCTCCTTTATCCTCTGGCCCTTCATTATGACATTTGGAAGGATCCATTCGAAGCAGAACAGAACTTTCCCTCTTGGCATTTTCCTTGTTGAGCTTACAAACTTCTTCCTGAGAGCAGGACTGACTATTTTGGATGGCCCCCTCTGTAAGCAAACAGATTACAAAGGAATCTGTCAGTAATTCTCTGATAGTCAGTAACAAAGTAGGGTTGCATACTTAGCATAACTGCTGTTGCATTTTGAGCCAGGCACACTTGCTATTCTCTCCCACTTTCAAGGTCAGTGTAAGTTCTCCTAAGCAAGAATAGACTATTTCTTTAAAACAGGGACATCATGGGTCATAAAGTCTTCCTTTTAGACACAGCATTGAAAAACATTTTTTCTCACTCAAATTTATTGTCAGCCAAGTGAAGGTTGATAAACTCCTAAGGCAAAGCATTTTTTGAGCAGTTTACCACTATGTACACAGGCATGTGAAAAGTAGGTTGATACTGCTTGAACAATTCTCACCCATGCTGATGGGCACACCCATAACCCAAAGAACTTCACTGGAGCTGTTCAGAAGAGTAATGGCTATTTCTGTGCAGTTGTACCCTTAGGAACTAGAAACTGATCAGAAACAAAAAATATTCTAACCTGTTGAATCTGGTGGCTTCTTCTCTTTTGTTCCCGTTTCATTAACATGTGACTTTTCTTTGATGACCTGTGGAGAAGGCAATTGATGTTAATCCAAGTATACAGCATTCATGTTGCACTGTTCCTCATGAAATTGCAGACTGATTTCTTTTTTGTCAAATCCAGGTACTCGGTGTTCTAATTCGTGTTCTTTTTATAAATTATGATCTTTATTTTAATCACTACCAAGCTGAGCAGATTGGTACCAGTGTAAAGCAAGAGAAATGATCTCAATTGTAATAGACATCAGTGTTGGCATAAAAACAGAAAAGATCAGGATTGAGCCTCAGAGACTTAAAGCAAAAAACATCCAGAAGTGAGCTTTTGCCCTGCACTAGCTTTTGCTGTTGAAAATTAGGTTAGTTAAACCAAAGCTAGGACTATTTAGTGTTCTAGTAAAATGTTCAGTAACAGTCTTACTGATAGATTTCAAAAAGTTTTGCTGTTAATCAACGTCTGGTTACAGCAATTTTAATGATCCAATAATTTCTTACAGGCTGATCGAAACAGTTACCAGAAAGTGGAGCATATAAACCAGGATGTCAGTTTTGTAGGGCTCTCTTACCCACATTTTACAATGCTACAGTGACATCTAGAGGTGCTTTATACCAAGCCAGCTCCTCATAAAAACTGCTATTACTGTTACCTTTATGGCCATTTACTCATATTCCTATGCTGTTTGCTCAGTGTGTTTTTTTTAAATTGGCTGCTCCTAAACTTTTAGTAGGACACTGACCACAGTAAACCATGGTGTCTGCTAATGCTCAGTGCTCCTTTTCCACCTGCCTTCTTCCTCTCATAGTACTATGAAACTGGCACTATCATTATTAGTAATAGATCCACATGGTGTGAAAAATGCAGATACCTCCAATTATTTTCCAGAGAGACTACTTTTGGTCTTCGAGCTACCAGCTGAAGCAGTGTAATACATATTTCAACAAAATATACAGGACCAAGCACTTAATTTTGAGTGTTTTAATCATGCAAGCAGTCCCACAGCTTATTCATATTGTATTCTGAGCATGAAACAGTCCTATTACTAAACATTTGTTCTGGAAAGCTTTCTGCATTTTTTATGATTCTTTCTTTCTTTTTTTGTTTCAATTTCATCAGACTATATGGAAAATGAGCATGAAATTAAAGCAATGTGTGTCAGCTACAAATTGTTCAAGGGAAAGAAAGCAAAGAAACAAAAAGAGTTGAGGAAAATTGGATGAAACAGCATGAAAGGATTTCGGCAGGACTTTTTGGAAAACCTTGATCTGCAAGGGAAAAAGAAACTGTAATATGAGCATCAGAACTGCAACTGACAACTATTTGGGATGCAGTTGGTCCCAGGAAGTTGCAAGACACAAAATGAAAAAGGCCTAAATACAACTTGGTAAGTACCCTTGAAACATAAATTGGAGCCCTGCTCACAAGGAGCTTAAATATAAATGTAATGGCTCCAGATAGATCACAGGGAATCAAATAATGCTCATTCTGTTTTTTTAATAGTGAAAAATCACTAAAAGTAGTAGGAAAAAGCCTCAGACTTATACATTCTGCAGTGTGACCTCAATTAGTAATGCACTCAGATTCCTGTAAGTATTTCAGCCTCACCGTACCACTGAGGACATCAGCTCAGATCAAATACAGTCAGCTGAGCAAATAACCAGAGAGAAATGGCCTCTAGACTCTTTGATGAACGGGGCCAGTTTTCACTTCTGCATTCAGAATTAATTGCAGGCACACAGCACTTCCTACTAAACACTGCTGTATTTTGCAGGTGTGAAATACAGAAGCCAGCTTTGAAAATCTGTCTAAGGGAAGGAACACTGGACGATGCTGAATAACTGAAATTGCCCTAGTGTTACACAAATTACTGCAGTGTTTATTAAAGCGTCATTTCTGATCTCTTACTTTTTAACAGCAGCAAGAGCTCATACTAATTTACATGAAAAAAAAAGGAAAAGAATACAAATAAAACATTTACTGGTATCCTTCAGAAACAATAAATGTAGCTATCTGCAAAAAAAAATATAGTGTCAACAGTGCACTGGAATAAGAACTACAGATACAAGGACTGGACATTGGACTATTTGTAGAAACACGTAATCTACACATGAGCATCTCAGTTTTCTCCATGTTTTGCTATTTGTAGCAACATGTGACTTCAACTTGTCAAACCTCAACCCAGCAATAAAAAACATGAAGTTTTGTTCATTATTTCTTCCCTGTGAAGGGTGGGATTGAACCAGGTTGTCTGGAGCAGACAGAAATCAACATGCCCCTCCCAGCCAGGCCACAGGAGGCACAAAGCCCTCCTGGTGGTCTTCCAGGGCATGTGCTCCTATGGCGTCTGACCCTATGCAGTTGGGCCAGCTGCAATTAGAGCCCACAGGCTGCAAGCACCCAAGGCCATAAGGCTCTTCTGAAAATCTCATCCGAAAGGTGTAGTGGTTTGTTAAGGACATCCATCCCACCTGACTACTCATTATAACACCCCTCTTCTTCAGTCTGATTGCAGTGTCTTCTTAAGGGTCTTTTTGATATAATCCCTATTGAGTTTTTATTTATTTATGTATCATTCTCCCTGAATTTTGGTGACATGACTTTTTCTAGTCTGTAATTTCTAAAATTATGGAAATCAGTATTTCTTAACGGAAATTACGCCTCCACCTTATTTTTCCTTTTTTTTTTTTAATGACTTGATTATGCGCAATAAGGTTAATGGCACTGCAGTCATTTTCTCTATTTGTAGAAGCCAAAAGCTTTCAATCAAGTTTTCATTTTAATTCCACAAAAGGTTAAATAAGAAAGGTTGCATTGTGACCCTGCAAAATATACCAAAGCAAAAAGATGTCTGTGCCTACACTAGTTGGTATTGTGTCTTCAAAAATACATTTTCCAGACTTAAACATATACTTTCACATGGAGCATTGCTAGACCCTAAGTAATAAAGACAGAATAAAAACCCACTTGATGATAACAGAATAATGAGAGATTTTCCAGAGACTGAAACTTCAGTATAGACAAATTGGAAAAAAAAAAAAAAAGAAAAGAAAGCCTTTCAGAAATTTTTTAAATTGAGTTTAGAAACCTGCAGAAATTAAGCAATAAGCAATTATATATAAAAATATAATAAATTTTTACAGACATTTCAAATGCAGCATGAAATCAATGTTTTTTTTATAGACAACTGACTCCTTTTTAATGACCTATACTTAGTTAAATTCCTTCTTTATACTGTACCAGTCCTACCCTTGGAATGTTTTCCTAGCTAACTTTCAAATTTTTTTATTCACCTAATAAAACTCTTTGATTCTTTTTTCCTACTGCAAAAATTTTTGTAATGAATGGCCTCACAACACAGTCCCAGCTTTTTAGTTAGAGGTCCTTTATCACCTCATCACATTTTGTTTGATGTCAAGGCATTATTCTCAACTTCAATCAGACGATACTGAGACACAAAACTGCATATGCCTAAATCCCATTTCTTACTTGGTGTCTTTTTCTCATGTTCTTAAGATACCTTGAGGAGCTTTGTTATGGCAGGATATCCTGGTTTTGTGTAAGACCTGATCACCATCCATTTATCCAGATGATTAAGTTACTTGCGCTTTGCAATGAATTCATTTCACTGACAGGAATTAGCCAGGGACCTTGCCACCTGAGCATGGTACTGTGATTGCTCCTAGTTATCTCCACATTGGTACACAGGAAAATGCATCACATACAACAGAGACCTGGGGACAACAGCATGCATGGTGGTGCTTCCTGTGCTATCCCTCAAAGCTGGAATCCACCCCCTGCCTTCCCTTTTGTGTTCCTCCTCAATATACACCCTTTTTTTCCCACTAGCTATGCAAAATATTCACTGAACGTATTTTTTTTTCAAACCTGTAAATGGTACAGAATGTACACATGGGAATTCTGTTTTTGTACTGTCAGGCAGTTCATCTGCTTCTGTATCACTGTTTTTTGCTACATTACACAAACTGCTGGCATCTTCAGGCAAAGATTTTGACTCTTCCATAATCTTCATAGAGCTTCTTGAACTAGATAAAGAAATCATTCTTCTGCATTAACCAAGTTACTTCTGCAAACTCAAGTCACAAGTATCTTCTGAACACTCACAAAAATAACATCTGAGATGAGAATTGTGATTCCCCCAATAGGAAATACAAGAGAATTTTTATGTGACCTGCTGACTTGAAAATACATTCATAATGAGGTAACAATCTCTGCATGAAGACACATACTAAATACTGAAAAATCCCTCGGAGTAACACCATCCTAGGTAAGAAACTGAAGATCAACCAAGCCAAAAGCCTTGTCCATTCCCCATTTCACTTTGCCAACTTCTCACCTGCTTCACTGGAGAAGCAGTGCCTGACATGTTTTGGATGGATGCTTCCTCCTGCCAGGCTATTGTTCTCAAAACAGGGAATCTTACACTGAAGAGTCAAAAAGGCTTTCATGCAACCAGGCTTATGATGGAGCCCATGGCCTTGAGCATGCCACCTGCTACGGTGAAGACACAGCATATTGTGCTAACAGGTTGCTTTTTAACATCTTTACTTTTGCCTTGAGGTTTAGTCAGTGTCTTTTAACAGAATCAGCATCATGCATAAGAAGAGCTTTGCAGGTAGATATTTTTTAACTCAAATCAATTGGTATAATTTTAATATTTCTCAAATACACAGAGGCCTGTAATAATGACCAACAAATCTGAGGCTACCAATCCACCTCCTAAGACCAAAGCATTCAGCATTACCTGGCTTTGATACATGTCCTTTCACTGTATCTGGGAAATCAAATCAACCTGTTACTATCAATTTTGGGTTTTTCACCTGAACAAATCAGGGGCAATGTCAGGCAAACACAACCTCTGGAGACTGTGGCTGCTTGTCTTATTGTCAATATTGGACAGCCTCATATCTACCCCTTCTCTATACTGCTCAGTGTACTCACATATGTGATGCCTGCCCATGTGCTTCACAGGTGCATGTGCCTCATATGCACCTGTACCATAACTCTAACATT